ACCCTGATCTCTTAATCCCCTACCTCTAGCAGCCCCTTCACCCTGACCCTCTGCACCTGACCCCCTGCCTGACCCCCTGCACTCTGACCCTCTGCCCTGACCCCTGCACTGACCCCTGCCCTGACCCTCTACTGACCCCTGCACTCTGACCCCTGCACCATGACCCCCTGCCTGACCCCCTGCACCTGACCCCTGCACCTGACCCCCTTCACCCTCAGCTATAAAAGTAACCAATGTTTGACAAGATTATTAAAGACATAATATTTTCTCGTCTCTTTTGCTCTTATTAACAACTAAAGTCATTCTGGGATAATAATAAACTGACGAGTGGGATGATGAAGGAAGTTTGGTGAGAGTGAAGGAGTGAAGGAAGTTTGGTGAGAGTGAAGGAGTGAAGGAAGTCGGAGTTTTCAGCAGATGACATTAAGCTGTAAATGTAAACTTGAAAGTCCTTCCTTTATACAAGTGGCAATCTGCAGAATTTCTCAGAAGTGAATTGGAAAAAAAGTCAACCCGACGCTGAAGAGCAGAATCCTTATAGCTGCGACCCTGAGGTGGTACACACACACACACACACACACACACACACACACACACACACACCTGCTGGAGGCAATTAGGGAGGGGGAGGGAAGGAGGAGGAGGGTGATGACCTTGAAGGAGGACACCTGGAGGGTTCCAAAAATTAACTCACCACCTGATTTCACCTTGAGATTTACCTAACCTAACCTAACCTAATCTCCCAGGTAGGATAAAGGTTCTGATCGTCAGGTGTAATATGGGGGTAATGTTCATGTGGTCATGTTTGTGAGTAAGAGTTTAATTCACTGTATTCGTAGGTAAGTAACGGAGGGAGCAGTTCGTTCGTGACCACCAAACACATTTCAGCCTTCGACACACACACACGCACATACACACACACACACACACACACACACACACACACACACACACACACACACACAGGATTACTTGACTCACTCCTTCCTCCTCCTTCTTCCTTCACCCTCACCCCCCCACCACAGGAAGGCCAAACATCTCCGTGACTGACCAGCATGAACGACCTCACCCATAACTTGAGGCCACGACACAACACACAGGAGAGGTCGTCACGTACTGAACCTGAACCACGACCAGGGAGGAAGGGAAGGAGGGAAGGAGGAAGGAGGAGGAAGAGGAGGGAAGGAGGAGGAGGGAGGGAGGAGGGAGGGAGGGAGGGAATGCTTGGCCTACCACATACATATTTCCTGACTCTCTCTCTCTCTCTCTCTCTCTCTCTCTCTATCTCTCTCTCTATCCTCCCCAGCTCAGAGAATATTATACGGACACTCCTAAATAAACTTTGTAGTGAGCCAGGTAAGAGGATTGCTAATCAGGTTCTCAACCTAAACCATGACAGCTGAATGAGCCAATTACACCAAACATTTAAACCATTAAAAAAGTATGAAAAATAATTAAAATAAAATAAAACATCAACAAATGTATTCTTTTTTTAACTGAGGATAAATTTATTCTTTTGTTTACTAGAGGAATTAAGGCCAAGATTGATTTAGTTTTGGTCGTCAGCACCTCAGTCAGTGAGTCGTAGTTGTGGTTGTCAAGTGAGTTTTGCGAGTGATTCACTGAGCAATTATCAACAGAGTAGTTACGAAATATTATGGTTAGGTTAGGTTAGGTTAACATTAGTGGTATAGGAGCATGAAGGATGAAAGAAGAATGAAAGAAGGATGAATGAAGGATGAAAGAAGGATGAAAGAAGAAGGATGAAGGAAGGATGAATGAAGGATGAAAGAAGGATGAATGAACGATAAATGAACGATGAATGAAGGATGAATGAAGGATGAAAGAAGGATAAAGAATTATGGACGAGGATGGGAATGTCAGGAGAGATAAGGGAAGACATGATGATATAAGTATTAAATGAGGAGATGAAGGAAGGAGAAGGGAGAAAGAAGAGAGGAGAGAGACAAGAGGAGAAGGAAGAAAGAGATAGGATGAGTTCATAACATAGGAAAGACCTGACAACTAACTCATCCTCAGTTCTGCACTCTTGACTCTCTCTCTCTCTCTCTCTCTCTCTCTTTTCTTCCCCTCTTTTCACTCCTCTCCCTCTCTCTCTATCCCCTTCCATCTCTCCCATCCCCTTACCCTTTCTCTCATCTACCTCTCCCTCTCCCTCCCCTCTACCCTGGCCCCTCTCCTCACTCCTATCTCCCTTTCTCTTTCTCCTATCCTTCCCTCTCCTCCCACCACTTTGCCATTACTACCCCTCATCCCCTCCCCTCCCCCTCCTCCCCTCCCCTCCCCTCTCTCTCTCCTTCTGGAATTCCACAAATCAGGTTCCGGACCATGGAACGCTTCCTCTATTCCAGAATTTACTGCCGGAGATTCTCAACGTAAATTATATTAGAATAGAAACGATATGTGGAGTTCTCATTCCTCTCAGCGTCCTCTGTCTCTTACCGTAAATATGGGGGTAAAAGTCCTACCTCAGATGCTGTTGTGGAAGGTAGAGAGAGAGACACTGGAATAAGAGAGAGAGAGACTGGGAATATAGAGATATGGGAGATAAGAGCGATAAGAGAGAGAGAGAGAGAGAGAGAGAGAGCTGAAGAATGTGTGTGTGTGTGTGACTCCTCCATGAATTATTACATAATACTTTTAAAGCCTTGATATAAATCATACCTCACTAATATCAGCATAAATCTGACTTGGATTTAAATCTGACTTAGGGATTTAAATCTAACTTAGGGATTTAAATCTGCCTTAGGTTTTCCTTCCATTTGCTGCCACTAATTCTCATTCGCCTTCCAGAAGTAAAGTTTTCCCTCTCATTTCTCTCTCTGTACGCCTGTCTCTTTTCTCTCCATCCTCTTTGTGTCTATCTCTCTCTCTCTTTTCTCTCCTTTCTGTGTCTATCTCTTTCTTTTTCTCCCTCTCAGTCTCTCGTCGTCTCTTCTCATTTCCATTTCTCTGTCTCTCTCTTTGCTGTTTTCAAATTATCCAAATTGGTGAATCTGTAGCAACTCTCATGTTGGTAGCCCTGTGGTGACTTTTTGCGTGGTGTTGGCAGCCCTGTGATGACTATTGCGTGGTATTGGCAGCCCTGAGATGACTTTTGCGTGGTGTTGGCAGCCCTGTGGTGACTTTTGCGTGGCGTTGGCAGCCCTGTGGTGACTTTGCGTGTGGCAGCTGTGATGACTATTGCGTGGTGTTGGTAGCCCTGAGATGACTTGCTTGGTGTTGGTAGCCCTGTGGCGACTTTTGCGTGGTGTTGGCAGCCCTGTGATGACTATTGCGTGGTGTTGCAGCCGGCTATGGGTGGCAACACGCCGGACAATATATGGCAGTATTTTTCGGTGAGTACAGAGGCAGTGCTGACAGGGACAAGTACGGGAGTGTGACGTGTGTCGAGCTGCTGTTGCCTGCCTCCCCTTAGCGATCATCCTACTGTGGCGAGGGGCGGAGGAAGGGGAGGGAGAGGGTGAGGAGGAAGGAAAATATGGGGAGGGAGGAAGATATGGAAATGGAGTGGGAGGGAGGAAGGAAGGAGAAGAAGAGGAGAGGAAAAAGATGAAATGGTGAAGGTGAAAGGAGGGAGAGAAAGGAGAGGGGTATAAAAAGGGAGGAAAAGGAGGTGGGGAAAGGTGAGGAGAAGCATAGGAAGGAAGGAAGGAAGATGAAGGGAGGAGGGTAAGGGTGAGGGGAAGGAAGGAAAGGAAAAAGTGAAAGAAAGGAAGGAAAGGAAAGAAGGAATGAAGGAATGAAGGGAAGGAGGCCAGAAAGATTGGACCTCCACCACAAGACTTAGTATTGGAAACCGATATTAAGAGTTACTGATGTAAATACGACTCCGGGAGGGCACTTAGCTCTGATGGTGGTAGTGGTGGTAGTGATAGTGATAGTAGTGGTGGTAGTGGTGGTAGTGATAGTGGTAGTAGTGGTGGTAGTGGTGGTAGTGGTAGTGGTGGTAGTGGTGGTAGTGATAGTGATGTGATGGTAGTGATGGTCGTGGTGGTAGTGGTGGTAGTCGTAATAGTGGTAGTGGTGGTGGTGGTAGTAGTAATAGTGGTAGTAGTCATAGTGGTAATAGTGGTAGTAGTGGTAGTCGTAGTGGTGGTTACATAAATACACCTCCAACAACATCCTTAGAATTAATGAGAAATTTCACACTAAAGGAAAATTAAATAAAAAAGAATCAAAGATGTAATTAATAAGGAGATGAAAGGAAATAAATAAAGAAGGAAGAATGAAATATTGTGAGATGAAGGAAGAGACCCCACACGTGTTGTTGACAGTCTGACGAACACAGGAGAGAGAGAGAGACATATTGTGGGTGAATAGACGGGTGATTATAAACACTGTTGAGAGACGTAAACATAATGATGGGGGGGGGGAAGGGGAGGGGAGGGAGAGGGAGGGAGGGGGGGAGAGGGGAGGAGAGGAGTGTGTGGAGAGTGAGGAAAGGAGAAAGGGAGAGTGAAGAAGAGAGAAAGAATGTGTGGGAGGTGAGAGAGAGTGCGTGTGGGAGAGGGGCAAGAGGGGAGATTGTGGGGAGAGTATGGAAGAGACAGGAGGTGTGGTGAGGAAAAGGAGAGAGAGAAAGAGAATGAAGAAATGAGAAAGATAAGGGAGAATGGGGAAGAACGAGAAGGAGAGAGAGAGAGAGAGAGAGAGAGAGAGAGAGAGAGAGAGAGAGAGAGAGAGAGAGAGAGAGAGAGGACATGAACTTTAACCCAGGAGTAAAATGAAGTTACCACAGCTAAGTACAGCCAGGCGCCTCCCTCACTGACGCCTGGAGACACCACAGAACTTTCACCCAGGGGCGTCTTACAAGTGCCAATGTGACCTTTGATGGCGTATGTTCTCTCTCTGTCTCTCTCTCTGTCTCTCTCTCTCTCTGTCTCTCTCTCTCTGTCTCTCTCTCTCTCTCTCTCTCTCTCTAGTGACGCACCAATCACACCGACCAACGTACAAAACAGAAGAATAAATCAGTGTTTATGGAGACTTGTGGCGGGTCGGTCACGTCTCTGCCCAAGGCAACTCAGCTCACAGCCCCCACTCAGAGCCCCCGACCTCCCCAGCTCACAGTCCCACACGACCTCTCAGCTCACAGCCCCACTCCAAGAGCCCCCGGCCTCCCCAGCTCACAGCCCCACTCCAGAGCCCCGACCTCCTCAGCTCACAGCCCCCCTCAGAGCCCCACGACCTCCTCAGCTCACAGTCCACACGACCGCCTCAGCTCACAGCCCACGACCTTCTCAGCTCACAGCCCACACGACCTCCTCAGCTCACAGCCCCACGACCTCCTCAGCTCAGCCCCACACGACCTCCTCAGCTCACAGCACGACCTCCTCAGCTCACAGCCCACGACCTCCTCAGCTCACAGCCCACGACCTCCCTCAGCTCACAGCCCCACGACCTCCTCAGCTCACAGCCCCACGACCTCCTCAGCTCACAGCCCACGACCTCCTCAGCTCACAGCCCCACACGACCTCCTCAGCTCACAGCCCCACGACCTCCTCAGCTCAGGCCCACGACCTCCTCAGGCTCACAGCCCCACACGACCTTCTCTGTTTACTTAACTTTGGGATTCATGAAAGGTTTGGCCCTCTCTGGTCTCCAAGGCTCCAGGTTTTGTACGTTGGGGATATTGGAGGATTGGTGTGTGTGTGTGTGTGTGTGTGTGTTGTGTGTGTGTGTGTGTGTGTGTCTGTAAAATGTGAAAGTGTAGAAAGGGTTCAATAAGGTTGTGTGTAAATAGATGTAAATGAATATGTAAACAAAGAAGATTCGACCTTCATGTGTAGTAAAAAAGTATAAATATGTAAATAAACTCAATAGATTTACCAAGTTACTCTTTAAAACTTGAAATCTGAGGAACTAAATTCATTCCTACTCCTTTTTCTCCTCTCTTCCCTCTTCTTCTCCTCCCCTCTCTCCTCTTCCTCATCCTCCTCCTCTCTCCTCTAGCCTCCTTCTTCACCTTTTCTCTCGACATCCCTCCTCCTACTCTCTCTTCCTTCTGTCAATATCCCTCCCGTCCTCCTCCTCCTCTCTTCTTTCTCTCTCCTTTCTCCTCTTCTCTTCCTCCTTCTCTTCTCTTCCATCTCTCCTCTTCCTTCTCCTCATCTCTTCCTTCTCTCTCCTCTATCCTTCCTTCTCCTCTTACTCTCTTCTTCCTTCTGTCATATCCTCCCTCCTCCTCCTCTCTCTTCCTTCTCTCTCTTCTCTCCTTCCTTCTCCTTCTCCTCCTCCTCCTCCCTCCTCCTGCCTAACACCGACACTGTCAACAATGCCATGATATCAGGCACTAGTCATGAGTGATTTTAATCTTTTCCACATGTCAGGCTGTCAGCGTCTCCACCTCCTGGCCTGGGAGGACGACCACACCATCCTACGACGACTACACTACCTTCAGGACGACCATTCTCCCTTCAGGATGACTATACTACCTTCAGGATGACAACACTACCTTCAAGATGACTACACTACCTTCAGGACGACTGCAATACTTTCAAACCACCACCTTAAATATGACCACACCACCTTAAATACGACTACACCCACTTTAAATACGACCACCACCTTCAGAACGACCACACAACCCTTGAACATTACACCACCTTTAGAACGACCACACCATCTTCAATACAACCACACGACCTTAAATACGACTACACCACCTTTAATACTACCCACCGCTTTGAATAACCACACTACTCCAGAACGACCACAGCTCTTAAACGATTCATGGACACTCGTTGTGGGCGGTTGGTCGCCTTCGTCAGTGTTGAGAAGGGAAACATGTGTGTGTGAGAGAGAGAGAGAGAGAGAGAGAGAGAGAGAGAGAGAGAGAGATACAGCTAAAGTTGTATTTGATTCTAAGGTAAATAGTTAATTATATCACCTTAATCACGTCACCTGCCTAAGTATGTAACCTATTATGAGCCAAGACGCATGCTGGTCGTCTCTTATTAAACTTCAAAGACAATATACATTATTAAAGTTCTCCGTCTGTAGTGTGTGGCTGTCGTGGCGTCGTGTGGTGTCGTGTAGTGTCGTGTAGTGTCGTGGGTGTCGTGTAGTGTCGTTAGCGTCGTGGCGTCGTGTAGTGTCGTGGTGTCGTGTGGTGTCGTGCAGTGTCGTGTAGTGTCGTGTGCGTCGTGTGGTGTCGTGGCGTGGTAGCGTCGTGTAGTGTCGTGTAGTGTCGTGTAGTGTCGTGGTGTCGTGGTGTGGGTGTGGTAGCGTCGAGTAGTGTCGTGTAGTGTCGTGTAGTGTCGTGTAGTGTCGTGTAGTGTCGTGTAGCGTCGTGGTGTCGTGTAGTGTCGTGTGGTGTGTAGTGTCGTGTAGTGTCGTGTAGTGTCGTGTAGCGTCGAGTAGTGTCGTGTTAGTGTGTATAGTGTCGTGTGTGTAGTGTCGGTAGCGTCGTGTAGTGTCGTGTAGTGTCGTTGGTGTCGTGTGGTGTAGTGTCGTGTGCGTCGTGTGGTGTCGTGTGCGTCGTGTAGTGTCGTGTAGTGTCGTGTAGTGTCGTGTAGTGTCGTGTGGTGTCGTATAGTGTCGTGTAGTGTCGTGTAGTGTCGTGTAGTGTCGTGTGGTGTCGTGTAGTGTCGTGTAGTGTCGTGTAGTGTCGTGTAGTGTCGTGTAGTGTCGTATACGTCATCTCTGGCGCGTGACTAACAATGTCCATATGTTAACATTAGCAAAATACAAGGTGTTAATAAAGTCCTTGATGTTTGTGTAATGGTTCCCTCTATAAAATTGATATATACTGCATCATTTCCTACATTAATACGAACTGTAGGTCTATGATGCCTTCTATAATACAGTTTAAGATACAGTAGATACAGTTAATAATACAGTAAGTGTAGAAAATACCACAGGATTACATATCAATGTCGTGGATGGATAAAGTCTTCATGGGGGCAAATGTCAACACAAACATCAGGGACTTTGTAAACACCCTATGCAATATTTCCCGATAAACAGGAGGTGGTCGACGCGGGGAGCCAAAGACGCACGGGGTCTCTACTGCTGCTGTGGGTTATGTCACACAATACTCTCCTCCACACAGTTTTAGAGGGAAGTTTATGTAGCGTTAGTAAGATTTGGCAACATATATACAAGACACTGGCAACTGACAAGACCTGAAGCGGTGGGAGGAGGAAGAGGAGGAGGAAGAAGAGGAGGAGGAAGACGAGGAGGAAGACGAGGAGGAGGAAGAGGAGTCCGAGTCATTTATGGGTCGGTGTGAGTGAGTAACAAGCTTCCTCTCTGTGCCGCATTTCCTGTTGAGATGACATGATACAAGGGACATGTTAACGTGATATCAGTGATGGCATAGAGACGCGTTCCCGTCCTTTATGACGTTCCTGTTATAGTGATGTGGTGATAGTGACAGTAGTTGTGGTGGTAGTGGTGGTGTTGACGGTAAGAGCTGTAACTTATCGGATGAGTGTCTTGAGTGACCTACCTGTTGTTATCTTACCTGTGATAAGATGGATTTCTGGTGATGCGTCTTAAGAGTCACATCCGGGAAGTTTGGTGTAATGTTTAGTAGAGAGAGAGAGAGAGAGAGAGAGAGAGAGAGAGAGAGACTTAGAGTGAACAGAAGAAGAAATTGACGAAGAGTAAAAGAAAGATAGAAAGTCGGAGAATAATGGAAAAATAGAAGAAACTGGTGAAAATAAGAATAGGAATAAAGAAAATAGGATAATAGAAGAAGAAGGAAGAAGAGGGAAAAAAGTAGCTGATGTGAGGTTCCTTGAGAGATAAAGCCTCGTCGCTCAACCGTTCCTCAGAAGTCACTAAGCTGCCAAAGATCTGTTGTGACGAACCAGTAGACAGTAAGTGAGGCGCCGTACCATCTCCTGCTCCTCCAAGAATAGTTGTCACACACACACACACACACACACACACACAGATGATGAATGATAACTGCATCGTGTGTGTGTGTGTGTTTGTGTGTGTGTGTGTGTGTGTGTTTACAGTTTGGCTGGAGTTAAGAAATATATTGGTGACCGGTCGTTTGGACAAGGTTAGGTTAGATTAGGTTAGGTTAGGTTAGGTTACGTTACGTTAAGTTCTAACCACCGTAGCCCAAACATTCTACTTCTGAAATTATACAGAGTGTGACGGCACTAAATCATCACCCATGGGTAGAGGTTTGGCCGTGTTACTTTCTTTGACGTTAAAGCCGTGAGAGGATAACACCACGCCAGGGGGCTGGTGTTACTCTCAGGGGCGGGAGAGGATAACACCACACGCCAGGAGCTGGTGTTACTCTCTCAAGGGGGGAGAGATACACCACACGCCGGGGGCTGGTGTTACTCTCTCCAGGGGGGCAGGGAGGGATAACACCACACGCCAGGGGGCTGGTGTTACTCTCTCCAGGGGGGCGGGGAGGATAACACCACACGCCAGGGGGGCTGGTGTTACTCTCTCAGGGGATACTACACAGAGCTTAAGTCAACAAAAACACACAGACTCAGAGTCAACGACAACACAAGCCGAAAATAGTAATACCTAGACTAATGATTATTGCTGCCCAAATGCCTCTAACATAACCTGTAAATAGTGTTTGTTTACCTTTCTTCTCTCTAATGTCTCGTTTTATTATGGTCCGTTTGGTTAAGCACTTCTCTGTGTCTTCCTGGTATTCATTTAAGATCTAGATAACAAACCAGACAGACACATACACAAACACATACAGTATGTACATCCATATACTCTCACACACACACATACCACACATACACACACACACACACATCCCCCCACACACACACCACTCTCGCACTCCCCCTCCCATACACACATACACCCCACACACACACCCACTCAGCCTCCCCCCTCTCACACACACACACGCCTTATCAACACCCAGGCTCCATCTTACCCCCCTAGACTAAAATGAATAAATTCTTCACTCACATACCTCCATATTTCCTCGTCTCCGACTTTACACAAATTGTTAGTCCGATTTGCAAAGAATTTCCCGCCACGTTTGTCTAAGGGGAGATAGGTGTCAGGAGAGGTGTGGGTACAGGGCATGGGCTGTGTGTGGGAGGCTGTGTGTGGAAGGGTGGGCTGTGTGTGGGAGGGTGTGGGCTGTGGGAGGTGTGGGATGTGTGGGGAGGTGTGGGCTGTGTGTGGGGAGGTGTGGGATGTGTGTGGGTGATTGTGGGATGTGTGAGGGCTGTACTACACACACACTAATTCTTCCTCCTCGAGTCAACATGAACAACAAAACAAGAGAGCCACGACACCTGACACTGTAAGACGAGTGTGTGTACTTGTACTGCGTCAGCTAGCTCAATGTCCGTCTTTTTTACACACTGACTGACTGACTGACTGATAAACTGAGCCGTGGAGGACCAGCTTGCAGACCCGTGAAGGCGAGAGACCAACCTCACGCTCGCCCAGGAAAAGTTTAAACTTGTAAACTGTGAAGAATAAACTTAAAGTTCCCCTGGTAAAGTCTGTATTTGTCTTTTATAAAAGATAAACGTAAAGGTATATACTTTAGATACAATATATATAGGCCTTATATGGACGCGTGTATGTCATGTTGTGTGTATAGATG